TATTGGTATCTGTAAAATGTCAAACAGCACGAGAATGACCTGCAACTTATCTCAAAGATTATTCTTTAGTCCTAGGGGCAGAAAAGGGGCAATCCAGGGAGTCAAGGGAGGGCTCCTGGGGACCCATCAGAGAGGGCAGGTCATGGTGGTGTTTAGGGCCGCTAAAACAATGGGACACACACACACACACACACACACACACACACACACACACAGTTCCTACCCCAGTGGTAAAACTACAAATCCCAGGATTCCATAGGATGGAACTGTGGGGGAATTACTTGGGACCAAACAGCTATCCCTGAGGAGGAGGGATGGGAAATGATTCTGGGAAGTAGCTTTCCCATCGGGTGCCTCTGTTCCTGGTGAAAAACAGCTGCCCTTTTTACTGTTTTGTCGCTGGCTTGAGAGCATGGATTTTGCATTTCATAATCAGCTATTTCATCATCAGCCTCTTTGCATGTACTTTTATGCAGAAAACCAAGACAGGGACAGTTCGAAACAGACATTGGCAGCAATTCACAGACCACTTTAGAAAACTTGGTGAAAGTACTGCTCTCCATCTTTGGTTTTTAAGGGAATACATCTCTCTCCAAGGAAGCAGAGACCTCTCTGTAACTTTTCTGCACATAACCAAAACCAACCAACTACCCACAACAACAAACAACACCTGGGATTTGTTTTATGTTGCAGCACACACATCAGCTGAGATACTAGATTGTGATTGTGTAGGACAAAAAACCCTCCAGAAGCCAAGTTACACATTGATTGTGCTACACACCCCTTGCATTGCATGGCAAATTTAGGCAAATGAATGCACAGCCACCACATGTGCAAGCAAATGCACCTAGGCACCCATGTGCAATGCACATGCCCATTGATGTGCAATGCATATCCGTCTCCACAATGGGATTGCATGCCCAACTCTGCTCCTGCAACCTGGAGCTGAATGCAGCTGTTGCACATCAGTGGAAAATGTCTAATGGCTTCCGTGGCATCCATGCGCGTGGCTAAGACAAAGACTGGGGTCCAGCCATCACTTGTAGGGCTTGGCCCTGTGGAAAGGGGGCTAATAATAATAATAATAATAATAAATTTTATTTATAGCC